TGTTTGATTTTTCTATAGCACACTAAACTGTTGAAAAGCAACCAAAACACTAACACAGCACCATACTCAGCAGGTACACTCCCCCACAACCAGGAACAGGGAAAACTGCACTCTCGGTTCCGCTCCTTCAATGTGAAAATCGATTCAACCACAATAATATTTCACCTGTTTCTACTCCTAGATTCGAAAGTCCTCTGGTGCAAAACACTATCTACAAGAGTGCTGCAACAAAGTTGGCATTGCACCATTGGAGCTTGTAATGTATGGGAATATGCACTGGGGCTCTTGGCTAATGCTCCTGAAGCGATTTGTGCAATTACGACCAGTATGACGCTTTGATTCAATTGTGTTCAGGTTCTGATTATCATATAGGCAATTATGCATTTTGTCCAGCATGCTGACCAAAAAAGCTCTGTCCCAAAAGCAAGAGGCAAAACTCCCAAATACCAATCATGGGTATTCACAGATGAGGATTGGATTATGATACAGCGTATCATTGATATCCTAGAGGTAAGAGAGCAATATAATTTCACTAGGAAGATCCCATTATATTTATGACAGCATGTAATCAGGTTGCTGGCGATGCACAGCAAGCATTCTCAGGGTCAGATATCCCCAGTTTCTCCCACCTCCTCTCCACATATGAAGAGCTCATGACCTCATGGGAGAACAAAGGGAAAGACCCTGCCTTCGCCACGATATCTAGTGCAATTCAGGATGGAGTTACGCTCCTCGGAAAGTACTATGATGCCACTGATGAATTGCCCTTAGCGGTGCTGAGTACTAGTATGTGCCAAATCATACATCTCATATCATTCTAATGTCTTTTTTATCACAAGTCCTTGACCCCACAACAAAAGATACATACATTAAGTACTTTTGGGCTCCAGAATATCAACCAAGAGCAATGGATGCTGTGTGAAAGATCGTAAGTTTTTTACTTCCCATTTCCCAGGCCTGACTGAGCCGCTTTCAGTTCCTCGAATACCATCAAGCTCACATCACTCCTGTGACTCAGTCCTTGGGAAGCACTATTCCACCTGAGGCCACGAGATTGTCAACATCGGTGTCATCTGTGTCACAAACATTTGCCATATCATGTCATCTTGCTGCCAGCTGGATGTGCCGTACTCAAGAGATCAAGGCTGGCAATCCATACATTGAGCTGAATCACTACATAAGCGATGTTCTTGAACCACCTGGTACCGATATGCTGGATTTTTGGAAGGTACGTATATTAACTTTAAAAATCCTTGCACCACACTCAGCAGGCTGTATGATACATAGAACAGGGGCTCCGCATATCCAGTGTTGCAAGCAATGGCACGGGACATTCTTCCAGTCCCCAGATCATCCGTGCCATGTGAGCAGGCATTCTCAGCAGCTAAGCATACCGATACTGGGAGCCACAATTGCCTGCTACCTGAACACCTTGGCCGGATTCAGATCTCCAAAGCCAACCTGCTATGATATCAGCAGGAAAAGAAGGATGCAAAAGAAATGGCTGCTCAAGAACAACTCAAAAGGTGGAAAGAATATGAGGCTAAGGAGGCAGCAAAGCATGCAGAGGATGTATAATACTTCTTGCAATATATTAATTCCGCTGTAAACACATCTCATTATAGGTGTCTGTTCAAACCAGTTCAAACCTGTACCAAACTGTTGTTGAACCATGGTTCAGTTCGAACCAAAGTTTGGTTCAGGTTTGGCCTTCCCATCCTCTTTTCGAACCGGTTTGGGTTCAGGTTCGTGGGATTCTACCTCTGAACCGAACCAAACCAAACCAAACTATGGTACCCCTACAATGCGCAGCTCCGATTAAGGCCTGTGCAATGTCCAGGAGTGTTAGAACTGGGTGAGGGTGGACGATTCCGGAGGGGAACTGGAGACTTAGCAAGGAGGGACCTTGGCCTCAGCGACTCAAGCGGAGCGCTGTGCCATTGCTGTTTGTCCATTTGGTCCTTAATTTCATAGGGGGTGAGCAGGAAGTCTCTAGGGGGCATTTCAGGTCGATTTTAGACTAAGGTCTAAAATGAGTATGTACAGGTGCCGATATATATAATGGGAAGGCGAAAGCACAAGGAAACAAAGGGGATCCGAATTGGAACGAAGGCATCCGAATGGGAACAAAGGGAAGACCGAAGCGGAGTGGTACCGAAGGTCATAAGGCAGAACCTGTGGTACGTCGGAAAGGAGGTAAGGAGGGCGAGGCCCAGAGGGGCAGGAGGATGAGGGGAAGTGGGGATGATGACTAACTGGCTAGAATGGGAAGAAGCAGCAGTCCAAATAGGGATGAGGGGAAAACGCGAGGGATACATTACAAGTGGCGAAAGTGCTGAAGGTGATCCATGGAGCTTGGAGGTGCGGAGCTTACGGAGGTTATGGAGGCAGGGTTGAAAGTCCGAGGGATATTGGCAATGGTGTTTACGTAGTATGAGGTCGCCAATGCAATGGACTAAGGCCGAGTGGAGTCAAAGTCCGAGGTAGGAGCTATGATGGAGGCTTGGAGCAAAGGTATGAGCAGTGTCTGAGTACGAAGTACGGGACAGCGGCGGAAGGTCGTAACTTGGTGGGGGGTCGACGGAAGAGGGCCAGAGGGGAGAGAGAGGAAGGAGGAAGGAGGAAAGGTGTGGAGGAGAGGAAAGGTGTCAGGTCGGAGGGTGAGTATCGGAGCGGACGGGAGAAGAGTAGGAGGGTGATGGAAGGGTGGAGGTGTTGTGGGGAGGAAGCGGAGGAGTGGGAGGAGGAGTAGGAGGAGGGTGGCGAGAGGTGTGGTGTTCGGTCCGAGGTGAGTATCGGAGCAGACGGAGATAGGACAGGAGAGGGACGGAGGAGTGGAGGTGGCATGGGAGGTGAGAGGAGGTGTAGTGCCAGGACTGAAGGCGAATATCGGAACGGACAGCGATAGGGTAGGACTCCAGAGGTGGTGAAGAAGGAGGTCCGGGAGTTGGGTCAGGATCGGACAAGGAGCACCACCATCCTCTAGACACCGCGAAGAAATCAAAGGGGCAAATGAAGGGAGAATTGTCAGGGCACACCCGCCTGACCCGGGTCCACCCGGACCCACCTGGCCACACCACACCCGCTCCCCACTGTCCATCCCTCTCCCTCCTCCTTCCTCCCTCTCTTCCCCTTTCTTTCCCCTCTTCCTTCTCCTTTCGTTATTTCATTCTTCTCATCTTCCTCTTCCTGTTTATTTCCTTCTATCTACACAGACCATCTTCCTTTGTATCGATGTACTATTGACCCGTCCAGCCCACACACCCCAGATGGCTTCCTGCTGTGCCCAGCACACGCGCATGCAGCGGATGCTCTCGGGATCCCCCACAGGGACACCTGGATGCCTGTGGCTGTCTCCAAGGATGACGTGGCACTCGTCATATGACTCAAGCCGCATGTACATAAATGTACCTGAAGTGGGAACCGAAGAAGTAACCTTCTTCTCACATTCTCCACTTCAGTCTGAGTGGCCAGGGACCATCGTCCCAGATCGGGCCCGCCAGTACGCATGCCCGCTCCACACCCCGCGATGGCCTCAGTGCCGGGCATTACCCCTGGGCCCTCTCGACCCCGGACACGTCCCTGACAAGAATGGGCTTGTGGTTGGTCCTGGTAGGTGTAGCCACACGGTCCTGTCACTAGGGGTGCCATGGTCCGGTTCAGTTTGGTCTTGGGGTAATTTTTTGAGGACCAGAACCAGGACCGAACCATAATTCCAAGGATTGCCATGAAGCTACAATGGTGAGGGTGTATCTACTGTTCAAATTTCTCCAATTTTCCTGCTGGAACATTGTAAAATCTCCAGAGCGCTAAATGAAATCTTTTACAAATGCTGATACAGCTCTGTATTTACAAATAATTAATGTTCTGGTCCTGTGGTTTGGTTTGGTTCTGTCATATCCATACAATCCTGACCTCCGCTCTGGGCTCCCAGAACTCCGAAACTAACTCCAGAGCCCCACTTCCTTCCACCACCTTCTCCCTGCTGATTCCCAAGAGGTTATCCCACCTCCAGCTCCAACACCACCTTTGGTCCGACTCCGGACCATTCCAGGTCTGACCTCAACCATGACACCTTCCAGACAAGCATGCAACATCTATGCTCCAATCCCCACATGCAGTGAGAGCCAGTGAGACCACCCATTGCAGCCTCGAATGACTCAATACTAGGCAACCTTCTTAAGGAAGCAAGCCAACGAGTCCGCCTTTTGGAAGGCGAACTCTCCTGATCTCACGACGAGGCCAATAACCTCAGAAATGAGATTAAGGAATTACAGGAAAATTTCCATGGGCTCAAGATTGAGAACGTTCGTCTCGATCTCGAGTTGAGAAACTCTTCCCATCACCAATCATGGCTCTGAGACAAGTGCAATGACCTCGAAAAACAGATCAATCGCATGGAAAAGGAAGCTAACGCCTTCGAGGGCTCTCACCCTCGTAAGATCCCTCACATGTCGAGAGTAGGTATGCTGTAACAGGTCTATCAATCTAGACTCGTGGCTCAGGTCTAGGGGGGTAGGTCTCTCTCTATCTCTTAGGTGGGTGTGGGTCCTTGGGAGTACGGTGCTGATACTCTCTCTAACCTCTAACTAACTGTCTGTACAGTTGTCATGGAAGAGTCCGATACAAATATAAAAGGAAAGTCACATGTGTGAATGAATGAAAATCGTAAGGAAAATAAAGAAAAAGCCATATCTCCTCAACCACTCCACCGAATCCGACGATCTTGGACTCGTCAGAACCACCTCCACAGTCTCTACAACTCCTATCATTACCACGACTCACCAATCCTAGTCCCTGATGCAGTAGGGGGTGAAATGTGTGATAAGTGTTGGTTTGACCTGCACGGACTTGTCCCCACAACAACGCCACCTGTACCATCTCAACACAGCCAGCATAGGGCACCAGTGGTCCCTATGTCTGTTTTGAATGTGGAGGCGCATAACTGCGCTGCGAGACCTCCTGTCCCAACAAGAGTAAGGGTTCCTCTTGCTGGCCTCATGGACAGCCATTATGGTCACCATGCGGCTCCCATTCCTCCCCCAGGGCCTCAAGGGCCCTCATCTTCTTTTGGTGCCATGACAGCACCTCCTCCGCCCCAACCCAGCGAGGTGCCTTACTTAGTCCCAGAGGGGTATTCATGATTCGCTGAGGTGAATCGCTCTCCCACTGCTGGGACCTGGAGAAATGTCCCTATCCCAGGCACATTCTCCCAGGGTGACTTCCACTTTGGTGTCACTATCAGTGGCCAAAACTGGCCTGTGTCGGACAGTTGTAACTGCTGCCAAAAGCGGTGGAATGACTGGGTTCACCCATTCTTGAACTCGATTGAAGGGTTCAAGTTCATGGTGGACTTGAAATGGCTCGACCATGAAATGAGGAACGGGTTCGACAGCACTTCGCTGGAGGCTCATCAACTTCATGGTTGATTCTTCAACATTAAGTTCATGAACAGACAGAACGTGTCCACCACTGAACTTGATGGATGTTTTGGGGATCATCCCTGAAATTTCGAAAATACTATTGAGGCAGGGAAGAAGTATCTTCTTTGCTGCCTCTGGAAACACTACCGCTCAGAAGCGGCACAAATAATGAAGGCGACTAGCACCACTGGATACAACCTTTCCAGGTTGCAGGTAAGTGACCCTAGTTCTGCCATTTCAGGACCCCCCCAGGACCTGCCTCCTCACTACACAATGTGTTATCCACTGTTGCCATATTCGCAGGTGATAGAACCCACCCCACCCCATAACCCTGTTCCCCATACTGAGGGAATGTTGGTGGACGATGGTGTGGTAGAAGAGGCCCCAAGGCCGAGACATTTCCCAGCGGCCCAACAGACACAGGCCCCCTTTGCTGAGAATGCAGTGGCAGGCCTGTCTAGAGGGCCACAGGCTAGTGGGTCCGTGCCCACCTGAAAGGGAAAAGCCAAGAAAGACTGATGTCCCCTTGGTAACCCCTGCCCACACTCGATGAATGGGATGGGGTGTTTCTTGTCCAATGAGCAGAAAATGTCTAACAACCTTGGCTGCCTAGCTTAACTTCCTCGAGAGCGTTGAAGGTCTGACCACCTTCGTCACCTTCTATACTTGTTCCAGGAGGCTGGGGTTTAACCACCTCTGCCCAATTATTCTTGTTCGATTGAGTAACTGGGGCCTAACCGCCCTGGCTACCACCCTTCTCCTCGCTGAGCGTCTCAGGTCTAACCACCTGCGAAGCCTGTGACTCCGATGCGGAGTGAATTGAGGTCTAACTGCCTCTGTCACCTGTGCCTTGGCATCCACAAAGAGAAACTGGGGTCTAACCACCTCTGTTTCCTTGTGTCTACTGTTAATTACCTTCTTGTTGAATGCGTGTTTGTCACATTTCTTGTCAAATTTTGTATATCTTTATTTCTTGTTCACAATAGAATATTTTTTTGATTCTCGTTTGCGATATTGAATATCGCAAGGGAGGAGAGTGTAAGGACTTACAATGTGTACCCACACATTGTCTGTCCTTTCCATACTTCACATCAAGCACGACTGCAGTCGTCGTGCTTCAGTAACATAAGCAACCTGTATAATATTAAGCCACATTACATCATGTAAATACACATATATAAGATGCATGGGTAGGAGGAAAGGCTCCTCAGCCTTTACTCCCCCATTAACAATATAGCTCATTAAAGCATATTTGTGTGACAGACCGGGAGTGTGAGGCACTTATAACCACACACTTACAGTCATCCTCCAAATGGGGACGAAAGGAACAAGATCACAGATCTTGTTCGGAACGAACATGGACGTTGAGATCAATGGCCACATAGAAAAACACTATTTCAATGTAATTAACATCGACAGATATGATGCCATATTTGGTGCCCCCTGGTTAAATAAAAAACAGGTAAGCTTAAACTTCCGGTCTCATAAAGTGAGAATGGTGAACAAGGGTAACATAGACACCCTTGGAGTCAGTGAAGAGTGTGCAACGAGATCGCATGGGTGGAAAACTCAAGCAAGGGCTCGAGAACAGCCAAAAAAGAAGCCCCCCTGACAGGGAGGCAAGACAAAAACACACCTCAGGGTAATCAGAAGAAAGTACCCTGAAGGTTGGCCCAATCCTAGTCCAGAAGGACTAGAACTCCCAGACATACCACATCTGGAAGGTCTCTCCATGAACAGCCCCGAGTTCAAAATACTCAGGGAGTGGTGGAGAGAGAAATTCGAAACCATAATGGCACCAGTGCCATTAGAGATGCCTCCCTTGAGGGTGGTGACCATTGAATCCCATTAAAGGATCTGAACAAGAAATTTCGGGAAAACACCCTGAGATGTCCTGCAGCACTGCAGGAAGCACTAGCGACCAAAATAGATCGCTACGTGAAAGCAGGATGGTGGGATCTGTCATATCCGTGCATACCTGACCCTGACCTGACTTCCGGACCTCCACCCTCTTCACCTCCGGAGTCATAACCTACCGCTGCTGTTCCGATACTCACCTTCGGTCTTGGCAACACACCCCTCCTCTTACCTCTCCGACCCTTTCTCCGTCCGTTCCGATACTCATCTCGGACCGAACATCGCCCCACTCGCCACCCTTCCTACAACTCCGCTCCCCCCTCACAACACCTCCACCCTCCCGTCATCCCCCTACGCTTCCCCCGTCCGTTCCGATACTCACCTTCGGACCTGACTACTCTCCTTTCCGCCACTCCCTCTTCCTTACCTGTCCCCTCTCTCCTCCTTCTGTTACCCTTCCGCCAAGTTACGACCATCCACCGCTGCTCCGTACTTCACACTCGGACACCATTCGTACCTTACTCCGAGCCTCCATCATAGTCCCTACCTCGGACTTTGACTCCACCTCGGTCTTAGTCCATTGCATTGGTGACCTCATACTACGTAAACACCATTGCCAATATTCCTCGGACTTCCAACCCCGCCTCCGTAAGCTCCGTAAGCTCCGCAACCCCGAGCTTCGCGGACCGCCTCCGGCACTCTCGCCGTTCTGTAATGTATTTCTCGCAATTCCCCCTCATCCCTATTTGGACTACTGCTTCCTTCTATTCTAGCCAGTTAGTCATCACCCCCACTTCCCCTCATCCTCCTGCCCCTCTGGGCCTCGCCCTCTCTACCTCCTTTCGGACGTATCACAGGTCTTGCCCTGTGACCTTCGGTACCGCTCCGCTCCCTTCACCCTTTGTTCCCGTTCGGACGTCTTCGTTCCGATTCGGTCACCCTTTGTTCTCTTTGTGCTTTTGCCCCTTCCATTATATATATTGGCACTTGTACATACTCGTCTTGGTTTTCAGTCCGAAATCGACCTGAAATGCCCCCAAGAGACTTCCTGCTCACCTACTGTGAAATTAAGGACCAAATGGACAAACAGCAATGGCACAGCGCTCCGCTTGAGTCGCTGAGGCCAAGGTCCCTCCATGCTAAGTCTCCGATTCCACTCCGGAGTCGTCCGTTTCCGCCTCGTTCTAACAGTATCCCACAAGCAGCGAGTGAGCATGCCCACTGCTGTGCATCTGCAAAGCAGATGGATCTTTGCACATGGTAATCGATGCAAGAAATCGTAATTTGAACACGATTCTTGATGTCACACCAATGCCAGACATGTGACTGATCCAAGAATCAGTTGCCAGAGCAACATACCGATCCAAGATCGATATGTCAGATGCATATGAACAAATACGTGTGGATCCAGATTGTTAGAGATGGGTGGATTCAGATGACTCCGGAGTGGAATCGGAGACTTAGCGTGGAGGGACCTTGGCCTCAGCGACTCAAGCGGAGCGCTGTGCCATTGCTGTTTGTCCATTTGGTCCCTAATTTCACAGTAGGCGAGCAGGAAGTCTCTAGGGGGCATTTCAGGTCGATTTCGGACTGAGCCCGCTACAAGTATGTACAAGCACCAATATATATAATGGAGGGGGCAAAAGCACAAGGAAGCGAAGGGGAACCGAATCGGAACGAAGGCGTCCGAACGGGAACAAAGGGATGTCAGAAGCGGAGCGGTACCAAAGGTCATAAGGCAGAACCTATGATACGTCCGAAAGGAGGTAAGGAGGGCGAGGCCAGAGGGGCAGGAGGATGAGGGGAAGTGGGGATGATGACTACTGGCTAAAATGGGAAGAAGCAGCAGTCCAAATAGGGATGAGGGAGTAACGTGAGAAATACATTACAAGCGGCGAAAGTGCCAAAGATGATCTGCAAAGCTCGGAGGTTGTGGAGCTTACGGAGTGTCAGGGACTCGTCCGGGGTCGAGGGGGTCCGGGTATAACGTCCGGGACCGAGAGCCTGGCGGGGGCGGATCGGGCGTGCGTACTGACAGGCCCGATGTGGGACAGCGGTCCCTGGCCACTTAGACTGAAGTGGAAAGTTGAGAAGAAGGCTACTTCTTCGGTTCCCACTTCAGGTTCGTTTATATACATGCGGCTTGGATCACATGACGGGTGCCACGTCACCCTCGCACACAGCCGTAACCACCCGGGTGTCTCCGTGGGAGATCCTGAGGGTATCCGGTGCAGGCGCGCGTGCTGGGCACAGCGGGAAGTCGCCCGAGGTGCCCGGGCCGGGTACATGGTGGGCGCGCTGCAGATGGGTCAGTTGTACATTGATACAGAGAAAGTCATCCGTGTAGAATAAAGAGAGAATAAAGGAGAAGTAAGATAAGGAGAAACTGAGGAGGGGAGGATGAGGGGGAAGAAGGGAAAGGGGGAGGAGGTAAGGAGGGGTGGACCGGCGGGGTACCGGGTCAGGTTGGGCCGGGTGGAGCCGGGTCAGGCGGGTGTGCCCTGACATCACCCCCCCCTTAAGCCGCTTCGCCTCGAAGCGGCCAGGTGGTTCTCCCTTTCTCTCCCTGGGGCTTGGGGGTGCGTCCTGTGAAATTCTTCGATTCGGTCGGGGGCATGGGTTAGGTGGTCCCGCTGGAGCCATTGGTTTTCAGAGTTCGGCCAGCCAGTGAACTTTACCAGATACCAGAGTTTCCGGCGTAGCCACTTAGAGTTCAGTATCTTCTCGACCTCATACTCTTCCTCTCCTTCTACCAGTTCCGGGCCTGGGCGTGGGTCAGCGGGTCTTTCTGCGATACCGTCCGGGAGGTGTGGCCTGACATTCGTCACGGACACAACTGGGTGGATTCCCTTCTGTCGGGCGGTGAGCTGGAGCTTAACGGCGGCCGGGGAGATGACTTGGGTGATCTTAAAGGGGCCAAGCCACTTGTGGTCCAGTTTCTTAGTCGGACGGTCGGTCGTGTAGTTGTAGGCATTGAGCCAGACTTGGTCGCCCTCTCGATACTTAGGGGCCGGGTCACGGTCCCGGTCGTAATATCGTGCCATCTCGTCCGCTGTGTGCTCTAGGGCTGCCTTTGCCTCCTCTTGCATTTTCATCATCCTTGACGAGAATGCATCGGCGGCTTCCACCTCGGATGTGCACGTGGGTTCTGTCCCCATCCTGGGGTGTTGGCCGGTGTCGAGTTCAAAGGGGGTTCGGTGAGTGGAGGAGTGAACGCGGTTGTTGTAGGAGAATTCTGCTAGCGGGAGCCAGTCCGCCCAGTCGTCTTGGCGGTGGTTGACGAACACCCGGAGGTAGGCCTCGATCTCTTGGTTGACCCGCTCCATCTGTCCATCCGTCTGGGGGTGGTAGGGCGTTGAAGGGGTCAGCTTGACACCTAGGAGGTCTGCCAGCTCCTTCGAGAAGCGGGAGACAAAGGCGCTCCCTCTATTGCTGAGGATCTCTTCCGGGAGCCCATGGTGTCTCCAGACATGCTCCAAGAAGAGTCGTGCGATACCCTCCGAGTCCACAGTCGTCACGGTGGGGACCATGTGGATGCGTTTGGACAGCCGGTCTACTACGACCAAGATGGCATTATATCCTCTGGACTCTGGGAGCTCCCCTATCATGTCCACTGAGATGACCTGCCAACGATGGGT